ATATAGACGGTATAACCGAAGCAAGTCATTGGGCATCTGCAGAGTCTCTTAGGCGTATGTTTGTGTCATTGTTGATTTCTGGCTCTTTGAGTAGACCTGAGGACGTATGGCAACAATGTTGGATGTTATTATCTGACGACATTCTATACAGACAGCGACGATTATTCAATAACTATGGTAATTGTGCTTTTTATATCATTCAATATATATAGATATAGATTATTTTTTTTACATAACAAAACAAACTATCAATTATTACATTGTGTAACCATTGCTTCTCTAAATTATTGATTTTTTTTTACTTCCAGATTTGCGGCTCAGTGAAGATGCTATAAAGAATCTCACCCTTGCTGAAATTGAGACTCTTATGCGAATTCGCGGCTCAAGTCTTCGTGAATATTCATCCATGCCTTATCCGGACAGTGGTAGTATCCATAACACTTCAAACCGCCTTCTATTGGATGAGCTTAATTATGATCGTAGCGCGCTTGCTGTGGAACACGAAGCACTTCTTGGGAGAATGACCGATGAACAGAAAGGAGTTTATTCAAGAATTATGTCCGCTGTTGATTCAGGTGCTGGTGGAGTATTTTTTGTATACGGTTATGGAGGTACTGTAAAGACATACTTGTGGAGAACTTTGTCTGTGGCATTGCGGTCGAAGGGTAAAATCGTTTTAAATGTGGCATCGAGTGGAATTGCATCGCTTTTGTTACCTGGCGGAAGAACTGCACATTCTCGATTTCGAATACCCATTAGTCTTCATGAAAATTCTTCTTGTGATATTAATCAGGCAAGTCCTCTTGCGGAGCTTATAATGAAATGCTCTCTAATCATATGGGACGAGGCGTCGATGATGCACAAAAATTGCTTTGAGGCAGTTCAAACATCACTGTAGGGTATAATGGGAGTATTAGACCCTTCGAATAAAACCAAGCCCTTCGGAGGCAAGCCGATTGTCTTTGGTGGAGATTTTCGACAAATCCTTCCAATCATTCCAAACGGGAGTCGCCAGGACATTGTCAATGCCTCTATTAATGCATCCAGCATTTGGAAGGACTGTACTGTGCTCCGGCTTACGAAAAACATGCGTCTTCAGAGCATTTCCGATTCGGATGAGCGTGACGAGGTGGTTGCATTTGCAGATTGGATTGCGAGTATTGGAGATGGTACTATAGGAGGATCAAATGATGGTTGTGCCGCAATCGAAATTCCAGATGATATAAGACTGGATCCATCTGATGATCCAATTGCTACGATTGTAGAAAGTACCTATCCAATGTTCAAGAACGCAACTAACGATCCGAGTTATTTGAAGGATAGGGCTATATTAGCTCCCACATTGGAAGTTGTTAAGTCAATCAATCAATACATGTCCGATATGAATTCTTCTGAAGGTCGTATGTACTTGAGCTCTGACAGTACTTCTAAGTCGGATTCTGGCAATGATTACTTGGCAGATCTCCACACGCCAGAATTTTTGAATAGCATCAAGTGTTCTGGAACTCCGAATCATAAGTTGCATCTGAAGGTAGGAACTCCAGTAATGTTGTTGCGCAATATGGACAATTCTATGGGACTGTGCAATGGGACGCGATTGGTTGTGACTAAACTCTCTACTCATGTTCTCGAATGCAAGATATTGACGGGAGATCACGCTGGAGAGAATGTGTTGATTCCTAGAATGAATATCACTCCATCTGATACTAGGATTCCATTTAAGTTCCAGCGGCGACAGTTTCCACTTGTGATTTCGTATGCGATGACCATAAACAAGAGTCAATGACAGTCTTTATCGCACGTTGTCTATTCCTGAAGAAACCGGTTTTTAGTCACGGTCAATTATATGTTGTTGTTTCACGTGTGACTACTAGAAGAGGGTTGAAGATATTAATTTGTGATAATGAGGAGTTACCCAATAACCAAACTCATAATATTGTGTACAAGGAGGTTTTTAATAATATATGATTGTTTCGTGACGAAACAATTCTTCTTTTTGTAATAATGTTCCTACGTATTATAATTATTTCGATCCTAATTCATATCATATTTTATTATTCTCCGTTTACATTCCGTGCAACGCACGGGTTTTGCACTAGTATATATAGATAGGGGAAGGTCCACTTTTGGTCCTCCATGTTTAGGGGGTATCCAGACTGAGTCCCTATTATGTTTTGGTGCCCAATTTTAGTCCTTAAAACAAAAACATGTAGTCCCTATAATTGGTAAAAATCCACTTTTAGTCCTCCATGTTTAGGGATATCCAGACTTAATCCCTATTATGTTTTGATGCCCAATTTTAGTCCTTAAAAAAATGTAGTCCCTTTACCTCAATTTATGTGAATTAACGGTCCATTTTTGCTCCACCGTTATGTTCTTTATTTTTTTAAAATTTGTTGACTAATGTCAACTTTGACCAAAGAAAAATAAAAGAAAATTTAAATGCTGAAAAAGTAAAATAAAAGACAGAAATAGTGAACTACAGTGAAACGAAAAAAAAAAAACCCTAACCGCCTAGGGACTAAATCCGATCAAATGGATGGAAATGGTGTGGTATTTTGTAGATGTGAGCTGGTTGCAAAGTTGACTACATGCTGGAAGGATGATAATCTCGGGAGAAGATTCTTGAGTTGCCCTCTATATCCTGTAAGTACTTTCCGTGAACTTCAATTGAAATATTATAAGAAATTGTTAAAAAACAGAGGGTTGATATGTGCAATTTTTTTCGATGGCATGACCCGGAAATGGGTGCAAGAGCATTAGCTGTGATTCCAGGCTTGCTCCGCAGCGCGAATGCTAGGGAAATAGAAATCAGACGAGCAAAAATTTTAATTTAATTTAGTGCAATTTCTTGTTTTAGTTTAATATTTTATTAATATATTTTCAGCATTTAAATTTTCCTTTATTTTTCTTTGGTCAAAGTTGACATTAATCAACAAATTTTAACAAAAATAAAGAACATCACGGTCGAGCAAAAATGGACCGTTAATTCACAGAAATTGAGGTAAAGGGACTACATTTTTTTGTTTTATGGACTAAAATTGGGCACCAAAACATAATAGTGACTCATTTTTTTGTTTTAAGGACTAAAATTGGGCACCAAAACATAATAGAGACTCATTTTTTTTGTTTTAAGGACTAAAATTGGACACCAAAACATAATAGAGACTCATTTTTTTGTTTTAAGGACTAAAATTGGGCACCAAAACATAATAGGGATTCATTTTTTTGTTTTAAGGACTAAAATTAGGCACCAAAACATAATAGAGTTTCAGTCTGGATACCCCTAAACATGGAGGACCAAAAGTGGAATTTACCCATATAGATAACAATAAAACATAATATCCCTAAATCGCCAAAATCCAAATTCGGAGCCCTAAATTTCGGAAAACCTCTCGGATACTCCGTCAATGGCCGCACTCAGCCTCCGCAAGAGCAACACCCGTCTCCCGCCGGAAGTCAACCGTGTATTGTACGTCCGAAACCTTCCCTTTAACATAACGAGCGAGGAGATGTACGACATATTCGGGAAGTACGGCGCCATACGTCAGATCCGCATCGGCACGAACAAGGACACGCGTGGCACCGCCTTCGTTGTGTACGAGGATATCTACGACGCCAAGACCGCCGTGGACCACCTCTCGGGCTTCAACGTTGCCAACAGATACCTGATCGTCTTGTATTACCAGCAGGCAAAGATGGGCAAGAAATTTGACCAGAGGAAGAAGGAGGAGGAGATTCAGAAACTCCAGGAGAAATACGGGATTGGCACGCCTGCTTCTAAAGATAAGTAGTTTGTTGTGCTATGAGGCGATTAATGTTTTGGTTTTATCTTTTCGTCATATGGGTAAAAGATAAATATTGTTGTGGCTGTCTTCTTCCCGGTGAATAGATGTGTGATGTACGAATTCTGATCTTTTAAGTGAATGGAAGTTTTTGGAACTAATGTGTATAAAAATGTTTTACTTTTCTTTGTATGTTTTGTATTTTTCATGGTAACATGTGTATTAATTCAGATGGAAGTTTGGATTGTGGAACTTGAGCTATGTACTAATTTTTGTTGGCTCTGTCTGTTAAATGGTAACTAAAGCATCTAAACCATAAGGTTGTCATCTTTGACTCAAGATTGTAGGGTAAGCTGATAAGGTAGGATTAATGTAACATATGTTCTTCATAATATGTTATGAATTTAGTTCATCCAAACAGCCCTAGATAGTGACTGTAGTTGCTCCCACTTATTTATCCCTTAATGTGGATTCAGTGTCGTTTTGGAAACTAGATAATGGCGCTGTGCTTCTGTACTTGAATTTTCCATTGTTTTTTGGACCATTAAGTCATTAGCATCATCATATGTGCATAGAGTGGCTCACATACCTGCTTGAGTAACATCCTGTGTAGAATATGGAAAGGGATCAAATTAAGTGTTTAATATCTTTTGTTAAGTGCTAGTTTACCATAGTTAGCTTGTGTGTAAAGTAGCTTAAGTTTATCTTGACGCCGCGTAAATTATAAGTTATGTAAAAAGGAGAATATTTTGCCTGCGTATTTTTCTCCTACGTTGCTGTATACTCATATTTGTGTGCACGTGTTAAATATTGCATGATAACCTGTATTATAATTAAGGATGGACACACCGAGACCTAACCATTTGTTACTGAAAAGGATGAAAATGGTTGATATATATGTTATATATGGGGTCACTACACAGAATTAAAGTGCAGCTATATCTATATTTACATTTGTTATTGATTGACTAAAACAAGTGCCAAACATATCTCCTGTAGTTCTCACAATTTGGGAGACGCTAATGTACATGATTTATATATGTATATATGTATATAAATTTATGGAGCTACATTTTTTTTTATATATATATGAAGCTATAGTGCAGTACTTTTAAGATCCGCAGAACAGTATGCTTTTCCCCCATTTGAAAAATTTACTTAATTGGTATATAGTAAAGACACAGTTCATCTCCTTATGTCAGCCTTTTCCACATTCTAGGTAGTGAAGACGCCACTCCTCCTTTTCTTTGTATTCGCTACTATTTCTGGATTACCTTTCTTCATCATTGCTGCAAATTCATCGTAATTGATCCGGCCATCCTGCACGTATTTCGACATGTTATAAAATTAATACATGTATTGGGTTTTGCAAAAATATGCCTTGAGAGAACGTTCTGAGTTGTTTTGCTTACATTATCCGCATCAACTTCAGATATGATTTCTTTAATGTCCTTGTCATCCCCCATTCCAAAGTCTCTGAGCGCTTGCTCGAGCTCTTCTATTGTGATATACCTTATAAAAAGAAAAAGCATAAATATCAATTAAGTGCTTTAGAATGTAACCAACACGAATTTTTCTAAAATATTGCCAGTAATGTATGGCATTTATTACCCGCTATTGTCCTTGTCGAAATACTGGAATGCCGTGTAGAGATGCTCTTCCCTGTCCATTCTGTTCATGTGCATTGTTGCCGTGATAAATTCTTCATAGTCTATGGTCCCATTCCCATCGGCATCAGCCTGATTTTTGTGCAATTAACAAAAAATATACATAAATTATATTTGGACTGAGTTGTAATCGTCTCATAGGATATTGTTCGGTGTTTCTTGAGAACTTACAGCTTCCATGAGCTGTTTGACTTCTGTTTCAGATAGCTTTGTGCCTTGCTCGGCCAGCCCTTGCTTTAACTCCTCAAGTGTTATAGTTCCGCTGTTGTCAGCATCCATGCCTTTGAACATCTCTTTAAGTCCCATGATTTCTTCCTCTGACAGGCAGCCGGCTATGACCTTTTATGGTTTCATATATGTTATAGCCGAGATTCGATTAAATAGAAATTTAACTTAATTTTTGTGTTGGGAATATATTGTGTTGAGATTTAGCTCGATTTTACAGCAAGAATCCTTTGCTTACCCGAAGAGCAACTTTTTTGAATTGATTCATAGCTCTGAACTGTTTGAGCCTGTTGAGGACAGCATTGTCGAGAGGTGTATCAGGTGCATCACCATCCTCCTTGATCCATGGATGACCTGCAAATAGTAAACACCATATTTTATATCGGTTTATGTCATGAATCTATGTGCAGTGACGATAATTCAAAAAATTGATAGTATACGTACTTAGCACTTGAGCAGCTGTAAGCCTTTGCTTGGGGTCCGAGTTGAGCATCTTCCTCACGAGATCCTTTGCTCCGCTTGATATCGAAGGCCATGGATCGGATGAGAAGTCAATATGTCCCCTTAAAATAGCATTGAAAATGCCGGTCTCTGATTCTGCTCACGAAATGCAGTGATAAAATCAGTAAATTTTTCGAGCTCAAGCAAACTATAAAAGATTAGACAAGGAAATGAAAAGAGTACCTGCCCAGAAAGGAGGAACACCAGAGAGAAGGATATAAAGCATGACACCAACACTCCATATGTCGACCTCTGGTCCGTAGTTTCTCTTCAACACTTCTGGAGCAATGTAATATGCGCTACCCACAATGTCTTTGAAGTGTTCGCCTGCAAACACGCATATGCACAATTACACGGTGATGTTGTGCCATATACTGGATAAGGTTTGGCTTTGAGATTCAATCTATTTAAAAACAGCAAAGCTAAGGAGAGAAGAATTTGGCAATATGTTAATTTGTGCAGCAAAAACAACACATGCATGAAGTAGTTTTTTAGAATTGATTAGTGCTTGGATATAAACGTTTTCATTCCATACGCCATCCAAATATAAATTTGACTCAACTTTAACAAAAAACTAGTGCGTGCCCCGTGCGATGCACGGGGAAACAATATTAGGATTATATTATAAATTAAATATAAAAATAATATTAATCATGATTTATCCATTGTTTTTTAATTAAACCGGGTTAGACACAGTCCCATCGGATGGACCGAGAACTGGTTTATAACCAGTGTAGATGCTCGAATAAAATATTTGCTATCGAATCCGCCAACACCATACGATTTTCTAAATAAATTTCGTTACATTTAAAAATATTTTAAATAAAATTATATGTTTACATAAAATGGAGATTTATAAATTGTTTATCAATTAGTTTAAACATTTGAATTTATAAATTGTTTAGATTTTAAGTAACATCTTTTATTTAAATTTATTACAAAAAGTATTATATAAATTAAAATGTTTATAAATTAAAATCTGAACAAACCACAAATGATTTAATAAAATAACTTGATCGTTTCGATGACGGTCTGGTTCTGAAAACCTTATATTTACTGTACATTAATAAAAATTATAATAAAATATTACTTTATTCACAAAAATATTAATAAAATGATATATAAATATATTTCATAAATTATTAAACATGTTGTCATAAAAATATTGTTAATATTTGAAGTTTGGACTACATCACATTCACGTAATACAGTATTTTCAATACTAAAATTTATATTTAGGTTGAATAATCGATTTGGTCTAGTCAAACTGATATATAACTTAGTCACATGAGACCAACTAAGTTGTGCCAAGTTTTTTGACTATTTTAAATATCACCTAAAAGCAATTCAATCAATTTGGGCAGTACCCTAATTCAATCACCCGATTGATCCAAAGAAATTTTCTTATTTTTTTAAATATATTTAATTTTATGAAATACAAATATTTTATGATTCATATAATAAATGTCTACACCAAATGATAGTATATTAATATTATAAATTATATATCTAAAGATGAATTTATTATTTTTACTTTATGAATATTAATAAAAAATGCCTCTCCTTTTAGCCGAGCATATGTTATAACCTCTCGCGTCGAGCTCGACCTCAAGGAGAAGAAAGACCCAAAGATAAACTATTTTACTTATGCATATTAATAAAAAAAATAACATAGAAATTTTCAAAAAATTAAGATCAATTGATTGATTATGCAATTTAAAGAATATTTTTAACGTATTTTTTAATATAAAGACCGAGATTTTAAAAATTTTGTTATATTTTGAATTGAGATTTCATAAATATTGAGACGAATATTTTAATGTTGTTCGTTGTTTCTAAGAAAAAAATAAACATAAAAACATGCTCACTTAATAGATCTTAATCGGATTTTTTAAATAATAAAATAAACTAAAACCCAAAATTTAATGTAACTTTTAATGTTGTATGATTTTTTAAAGAAAAAAATAAGAAAAAGTAAAACTTAGTATTATTTATGGGCTGCATTAAATTCTAACCTATTTTTTTGCTACTATTGTAGTAAATAGTTATTCTTATTATATAGATATAGATTTACTATGTTCAATATTATCAATATAATTAAATAATATTAATTATTATTATACATCACATGACCATTTTAATTCACTATTAATCCACTCACATAATTTTAACTAAATATCCCTTTACATCATGTCTTTCATATTTTTACATCAAATCAATTTTAATTATTATTTTTTAGATGTTATTTTAATATAAACTCAAAATCTTGCTAATAATTAATTATACCATTTTTTTTTTCAAATTAATCCTGAATAACCGGAAAAAAAAAACATTTTGAGCAAAAATTTTTGTATTCAAGTACGCTCTTTGTTTCTCCCAAACCAATAGAAAGCACAAGTATTTTCGGCCGCATGAAAAGGGTCAAAATCTTCAGGTTCAATGATGGATTAATATAACCTTGCGTAAGTCTTGATTTATGACCACAGTTTTTTTAATGCCTTTCACATTAACCCATTACCATTCGATTAACACACATGAGGGATTGTGTTTGAAAACCAAAAATCAGAATCGCTACGCAATTTCACAGATAGCCTCACCAAGAATAAAAAAAGAAAAAAAAAAAATCGAGCAAAACGCAGAACAGAAATCGAACCAAACCTTGTTTGTAAAAGACGGAGAGTCCGAAATCGGTGGCCTTGAGCGGCGCATCCTCAGCCTTGCTGAGCAGCAAGAAATTCTCTGGCTTCAAATCCCTATGAATAACCCCCATGGAATGACACGTGTGCACAATCTGCACAATAGTCCTCAACAGGGACGCGGCCGCACACTCCGTGTAGTGTCCCTTGGCTATAATTCGGTCAAATAGCTCCCCACCGGCACAAAGCTCCATGACGAGATGAACCGAGTGCTTGTCCTCATAAGCCCCCTTGAGCTCGACGATGTTAGGCTGGCCCGTGAGGTGGTGCATGATCTGGACCTCACGGCGCACGTCCTCGATGTCCTCCTTGTTGGCGAGCTTGCGTTTGGCGATGGTCTTGCACGCGAGCTGCTCCCCAGTCTGCTTGTGGGTGCAGAGGTAGGTGACCCCGAATTGGCCGCGCCCGAGCTCCTTGCCGATGGTGTAGGTGGCGCGCATGTCCTCCATGGGCCGGCCCAGGACGGGGCCCACGGGG